AATATAAAATCGCTAATCCTACTCAGGAACAAGATAGAAAATTAAAATAGTTTTCAAACGAGGTAGAATAAGAACCCTTTTTCCTACTAACAAAATGTTGGTAACGGCCTTTCTTATCAAAAAGTACTGAAGTGCTGAAAATTATGACTTTTCACGTAAATTTTGTCCGACCTTGATATCTAGCCTTATCCAAAAGTTATTAGGAGAGGGGAGACTTTACTTTCATTAATTTTATGAAAAAACTGATCTAGATAGTTATAATGAATATACTTACACTTTGATATTTCCTATTATCCAGTCTAATTCTATGTACTCTTCGTTCTTATACCATCTGATGCTTTGATGAATGTCTACCACTTCACTTTTCCACATTTGATGGATTTCTTCGACATGGTTTCCGGAAAATGATCGTACCACTGAAACATCGCCCAAAGGAAAGGAACGTGTATCATTCGGTACAAACAAGTATGCTCCAGAACCTGTCAAGACACTGTCATCATACATGTAGTCGCTGTGATAGCAATTAAAATTTTGTGTGATTCCCAGAGTCTTTCCATTTAATGTGACAGATTCGAGGAGGTTCGTTTTTGGATTGACGCTGAAGGCAGAGAACTGAAATGAATGTTAAAACTAGGAGTTCAAATCGATACCCACCTGAAATTTCTCAATATATAACTTATTTTTTCCCGCAAACATGTAAAAACCTGATACTTTTTTCAAAGATTCAGTGTTACGGTCTATAACAAGAAGTCGCAGTTGTTAACTCTGTCTGGGAGAAATTCAGTTTCCTTGAAGTTTTTTCTTTTTTTTATTTAATTTTTTCCACTAGTCTAAGATCCGAAGAAAAATTGTCTTTTGCCCACCTACCAGGTGAAACATTTTTTATTGATTTTCAAACTTAGACGACTACATCTTGAATGTATTACCTATAGAAATGTGTTCATGACTGTCCTTAATATAAATGTTTTTGACATGTGAAAATATGGTCATAATTTTCATGAAACTCTTTAAGATTTTGATATCTGCAGTAATTCGCGAGCATTTTTTCGGAAAGTTAGAGCGATTATGCCGTGAGCACAGACAAACGGAAATACGACAGAATTGTTCATGAATTTTGGGTAAATAAAAAATTGTAACACATTATTTTGACGGATATTTTGGTATCTTTCTGATAAATTATTATTATTGTTATACATATTTCGATTGGAAAACTGATGCATGAACAGAAACAAGTAGGCAATGCCACCTAAACATTTATTTGGTAAACCAATAAACACCAAATCGGTGTTTAACACCTAGGTGTTTTTCAAAAAATCTCAATGACAAAACAGTTTATAGGCCCTTTTTTATTCCTCTCCAAAAAAATTCACGAAACAGTTTGTTAATTTTTTTCTGTAGCTTCAATTGTACAAAGAAATTACGACGAATATAGTAATGTCCAATTTTATTTTTGTATCTGAAATTACTGCAAATATCGAAATTTTTCATGGAACCAATTACTAAGTCTGAAACATGGTAATAAAAAATAATAATCCTTTTTAAATCAGGGATTTTCATTAACATTATTTGCAATACAATCAGGATGTATTTGTCTGTTCCAACGAAATTTTTCATGGAACCAATTACTAAGTCTGAAACATGGTAATAAAAAATATTAATCCTTTTTAAATCAGAGATTTTCATTAACATTATTTGCAATACAATCAGGATGTATTTGTCTGTTCCAAAAATATATTTCATCTGGTGAACGAATGAGCAGAAGACGATATCGTTTCGGATCCTATACTACAAGTAGATTTTATTTGAAATATTATATTATAGATATCAATTTTCCTCGGAGTCATTTCAGTTTTGAGTGAATTACCAAAAAAAAATATTCAGTCTCAAACATTCAAAAATCCTTCAATACAATTTGCGAATTCCGTCCCAGTTAAGCCTGGGATTATGATATTATATCAATTTTTCAATGGAGAGACCTAGTTGAAGAACGGATCGTTATTCAATAAAAGAGAAAGCTTTGCTCCTGAAAACCGCAGATCCCAAGATATAGCATACTAATAATAACAACATTTTAGGTTATTTCACTAAATTTGATCAAGAACAAGCTTAATCTCAGAAAAATAGTTCCTTACAATAATCCATCGATGGCTTGCTTATGGTAACATGTTCCATTAGCGATAGTTTCTTAGGGACTTATACTATCTCTAACTCTACAACTACAAGCCCTGCAGCGAGGGCCTTGTAACTATCTCTCTACAACATCAGATCAAGAACAAGATCTTCTCGTTCCTTCAACTCCTGATTTTGTAAACAAAACTAAAAGATTTGGTTGTTCAGGCATAGCTGACTTACAGATGCCCTCATATAAAAAGGTTGCTGCGGTCATTAAAGGCGGAATCTTGCAACTTGAATATCCGCACAAGTACGATTCCAGAGCTGCACATTCTGATCTGGATGGTTACAGGTTCCCTGAGAGAATCAAGTGTTTCCTTGAAATGTATCACAGAAGACCTACTCACCAAGGTAGTCACAGACTACCGCCTATCAGGTCCCCAGTAGATTAAGGAAAATGTACCATGATCTGGAAATCATTGTTCCTAAATGTTAACGAGAATTCAGGCTTTGATAGCAGATCACATACTCTTTACCTGCCCCACGCAGACTGAATCAGGTTTTCAGCATTTGACAAAGCCCCATCCTTTCCAGCTGACCTGAAAGATCACTCACCAAATAAAATGATCGGTTTTATTAAGAAGCTGGATTTATTTGATCGAGTTTGAAAGCTGACTGCACTTTGAACCGCTTTTGCTTCGATCCGGAGAAGAGATACCATGCTCTTTGATTAATCTTCAAGTGGTCACTTTTATTTACCTCAGTCGATGGAATTTTCGGGAAAGAGAAGAAGGGGAACTCGAATCAAAGATTATTTGCCGAGAGGCTTATCAATACTAACAATATTATTCTGTCGTTTCTCTGCTATTAGGTGTTTCTGGTTATTCCACCTAAGCTGATTGTACACCATAAAAGAAATATAAAACAAATCGAAAAATACCTATGCTCAAATATCACTAACAATTGCAAAATTCCGCTCCCTTATTCAATAAAGACCTTCAAGAAATTGTAACTTAACGCTTAAAGCGGCAGGTGGATTCTATGCACAACTTTAATGGGATTTGAGATATAAATATATCACAAAAACAATGATGATTACTAAAAATTCAAAGGCTACTATCTAATCTTCAACGATTTAACAAAGCATATCTCTGCCTGGTAGTGAGATTGGTGGTGCTATTTCAAATAAGTACAAAGTATTGTTTAAAAAGTTTTTTCCGGTTGTGCTATTTTTGGTAGGTTTTCGCCTTTAAGAAGTGCCTTTTGAAACAACCTACTATCTCATGAGGAAAGACGGAAGTATAATGTCAAAAAAAGAGATCATGCCAGATCTGCTACGTAAATCCATTCACTGGATAAATGCATTATAAAAGTGGCTGAACAGAAAGGCGTGTATTACGCGTATGTTAATCTACAGAAGCAGAAAGAAATCATAGGTCGAGCTTATTGCTAATTGAGAATCTTCCTTTCAGGAAACTTTTTCATTAATTATCTCAACCTAATGAAAAATTTTTCGATACGTATTTATCATAACGTTTGCGGAAAAAAATATTTCCCCCTCATTTTCGAATACATCAAAGATCAGTTACTTTTTTGACATCTGGTTGATTCGGATTCCTCGAATTTTTCATGTCTTTTTTGGTAACGTGATAAAGCTTCAAACCCATTGGGGGAATGTCTTTAGCAGCAAACACCAAATCATATGGAGCTGGTTTAGCTCCATGAATTTTGACATATTCAAATTTGCTTAGAGATGGCACTAAATCGAAAACTTCTATCCCTGCAAAAATAATATGCTCTGTGAAAAATAACCGAAAAATGATATACATTATTGTACTACCATTGGGCCCTCTGATTTCGAAAGTTCTATCGTCCATTGGAAGTCTTACGTAGTGCGTGACGTTCCATGCCAATGGATTGTACACCACGACGACAAATTGATCAGAGTCCTGAGACACTTTGCAGATACTGATGTTCGACAACAAACAAGATGAAAGATTCAAACGTTCATCAAGGTTGAGTAGTTGTCTGAAAAAAAATTGTTAGTATTTTTATCTGTGTCCTGCTGAGGGAAAACGTCAACAGTCCAACAAACAACAGTTTTTTAAGGTACAGTCGATGTTCTAGATTTCTTCTGATATCTGAGTAACCTATGATTCGGATACAATTTCTTGCCTTGTCCTTGATTGCCTTCGAAATCACATATTGAAAAGAAACCCATTAAAAAACTTACTCTACCTCAACTCAAATTATTTATAGTTACCATTTAACAGTTTGATGAAAGGTAATACCATTTCGTTATGAAAGAGCATACTCTAATTAATAACTGAATATACAGTGAGATTCGTTTACAATGGGGCACCCTTATAATAATAATAATAAATGGCCTTTATTTTACTTGGCACACATCGCTATTTTTCCACTCAACCAAGCATACTTAGGTAAATAGATACCAATAAAATTAATTTTAATATGTTGAAAATAAACTGTTAAAAAATGAACTAAAACGTGAAATTTTTGAAAGAATTTTTTTTTTGTTACTTGATTTCAAAATAATTGTTTATTCAAGTAAAATTTTTTGAATCTATAATTGAAAGATAATGAAGAAAGCTTTTTCATACTTTCTATGATATTATTGTAGATACTAACATCCTGATAAGAGAAGGATCGCTCGAACTATTTGGATTTATGCCGTGGGATAGAATATTCACTCCGATTTCTGAGACTTGTATCATGTGTATCGCGTCTGTATATCAACTTTTTCAGAAGATATTGAGCTTGCTGTTTCATTCTGAGGTTATGAACGATGTTAGCCATATGCAGTTCTCTTCTGTTAATCATTTTCAGCCACCCGATCTGATTTATGAAAGAAGATACATGATCTCTGAATTTCAAACTAAAAAATCAATCTTGTACATGCTTTCTGAACTCTCTGTATTCTTGATGATGTGATTTGATAGAGACAAGGGCCATAGACGATATCGCAGTAGTTGAATATGGATAAAATTAAGTTATCATAAAAAATGATTTTCATGTTTCGACTGAGAAAATGTCTGTTTGAATAAAGTTTTTTAACAATCCATAAGCTTTACGTATTAGTGAGTTGACATGTGATTGAAAGCGTAATTTGTAGTCAACATTAAGTCCCAAACATTTAATTTCATTGCTAAATTCGATCTCGTGATTGTCGATCCGAATTTCGATACTATCTAGGGCCCTGCTCTGTCTGTCTTCAAAGTTTCTGAATACAATACAAGATGATTTTTTAGGATTCATATCCAAATAGTGATTTCTAAAAATATTCATGACGTTTTTCATATCGTTGTTCAAAGAATTCTCTTGTGCCAACAAATTTTCTAATTTACCTGAAAAATATAAAGTATCGTCTACGTAAGAGTTCATTTCAAATATTTCAAGTGCTTTGCCAGAGTCAAAAGTATAGATAATAAAGAGTAACAGAGATAAAATGGATCCTTGGGGTGCTCCATGTGAGATTTGAATATAATCAGACGTTAAACCGTTCAGTTTAAAACTGAACGGTTCTATTACAGAGAAATTATTTGATAAATTTCTGTGAGATCTCATCAAAACCAATATAGTGAAGTTTGGCACAAAGAAGCTCATGATTCATGGTGTCGAATACTTTACCAATTGATACAAAGAGAGTTAATTCATCGTTGACAGAAGCCCGTCATTTTTAGTAGGGCGCTAGTGGTGCTATGGTTTCGTCTGAAGCCTGACTGATTTTCAGGTGAGATTTTTTTTCATTTTCCACTCATATATATTTGTTCATATGCTGCTTTCTCTAGAATTTTTTATGTAACCGGCAGTATGTTTATGGGTCTCGGATCATTGTAGGATTTTGGCTTGGATATTTTGTTAAGAGGAAGTATCACAGATTTTTCCAACTATCTGGATAACATCCTTGTTCTAGGCATTTATCAATAATGTAGGTTGACGCGGAAGTGAGGAAAGAAATGCATAATTTTATCATTTTGATGGATATCTGATCGGATCCGGTAGCATTAGATTTTATTTTGTTGAAGAAACATTCTATATCAGAATCTTCGATAGGATGGAATTTGAATATGTTATGATTTTGACGGGTCGACAAATACTGAGTCATCATTGTAGTTAGGTTGAGTGACAGCTTGAATAACCGATGAAATAAAATGATCATTTATTTTATTTGGGTCACAAGTTGTTCAGGTACATTATTTTTGGATTTGCTCACTTCAAATATCAAGTAGATGTAACCTGTACCAAAGTTCTTTGGAGTTGTGTTGGTCTTGAATGTATTTGAGGTAATTTTTTTTCTCAATTCTTGTGGCGGTTGTTACCTCTCCTGTTCAGTAAAGTTTGTTACTAATAGTTTAGGTTCTCTTCATGTGACAACAAAATATTCAATGATAGAACATAAAAAATGTTTTGACATTGAGGAATGATTCCTTCAACTCAACTTAAACATAAATTAAAACAATCTGAATTTATCTTCGACGACAATGCTTCATTTTTTAACACATTTCATAAACGATATAAATTTTGTTATTAAATGTGTATAAAGTGTGAGGTTTGATCTATGAATCAGCCATTAGAGTTTCAGATCATTTTGGACTTTCTGGAAGCTAATTGATCTTCACAGATGTTATCCGGGCTGAGGTAGGGAAGCGTTGTCAAGGCGAATTGCTAATTTAATACTGAAACTTCAATTCGGTATTGTGACAAAAAAATCATGAGTGAACTTAAGATATTAATTCCCTAATACATTCATCTATCTTCATTTTTCTTTATTTATTATTTCTGGAGAAAAACCTCTCATCAATTTTCCAACTCACCCTACAATATCTCCCAAAGGTTTCTCAGCTTCCTCAATACTGGCTGTCAACATCCTTACATAATCATTGGCAACATGTTGTTGTTCTGTACCAGTTATAGCATCATGATGCTGCATAACGCCCATTACTTCTTTCAAATATATCAAATTGCCTGCGTAACTCACACTGCTATGCAGAGACCCCAAGGCGTAAAGTTGCTTGCTAGCCTGCAACGGAAGAGTTTAGATCATAAAATTTTAACAGCGAACAAAATTTAAAAGGGCAAGAATTTAGGTATCAGGCGTTTGACTCAACCATTCTTTTATAAACTCACCTGCAGTATGTTATGTCCAATCCTTTCAAATCTTTTCGAGTTGGGCCTGGAAGTGAAATATCCTGCCCAAAATGAATGGTTGCTATTACTATACGGAAAGAAGTCATCTGTTTTCAATGTAAGGGTTGGTTTGGCCTTATTCACAGCCCTCAAGTAGCAAGATGGTGTGGAATAAATAACGTTCACTTCCTTGTGATTAGCGAAACCTCTGGAATTTACATTTTCGTCAAAATATATATGTGTGAAACACGAAAACCTTACTTAATGAATCTATCCATGTTTATATAATTTGTCTCGGCTGCTTGATATTGAAAGTCTCCACCCATGGGAATGAAAATATTATTAGTGGAGAAGTAATTTGAGAAGTTCTTCACTACTTCAAGAAAATCACTAACCTAGAATTTGAGTTTCAGTTTGTTTCCAAATCTAAATGACCACAGTTCGAATTCTCAACATTCATAAAAAATGTTTACCTTTCCCTCAAGATTATAGTTGGGACTTTTTGGATCATCCACAATAACGTCATCTTTACATTCAATATCCCAACAGTAACCTGGTGGTGAATTGTATAGATCTGTTGCAAAAATGCCACCATAAATTGTGCTATTGTCTGAAAGTTAAATGTTGAATCAGATAGGTTCTGATGCAAAGAATCATTTTACCCAAATTGTCGCTTCCTTGCCAGACAAAGTCTAGACGTCTATCTTTCTTTCTCTGATCCAAATCATCATGGTCTAATCTAGCGAAAAACACCCCATCATAACCCATTTGAGACAAAAGTGATGCTTGCTCTCTGCTGTGCCCAAAAGGATCTATCTGCCACCCGATTGTCGGTCTACCACATTTTCCCAGTATATCATCAATGATTCTATGATATCAGGTGGTGTTAGATTGTTCTTGTTTCCTTGTTTTTGGTTTGACTTACCTCAGACCCCAGGTAAATTGATCTATAGTCGATTGATAGTTGGAACAAGCTTCGTCGTTCATAGACCAAGCGCCATTTACCATTTCCAATTGGCCATTGTCTACAAGACTCCGATATTGTTTTCTCTGTTCCTCGTTCTGATCTTTCCACCATTTCCAGAAAAATGCTGTTTCTACCTGAATATATCTAAATGATATTCAAAAAGATTAATATCATATTATATAAAAAGGTATCTTTTTTGTATAAGTACTACTTTTGATTAGTTTATTCATTACCGTGTCGATGATAAAGAAATATATTATTGATGGAATTAGCTTTTGAAATAGATTCACAAAAAATTGATCGATTTGACCAGAAAATAAATAATTCCATTCAAATTTTGTTTTTTTAATAAATCGAGGTGGCAATTTTAGTGGAATACCCTGTATGTGAGAACATAACACTCCACAAAATATTTTTTATAAAGTAAGATATTCTAATCATACGATCGAGATAAAACAAATCTTCAAATCAAGAATACACAATCTATGACGTATAAATTGATATCATGATAGTTATTTTTCAATCACTCTCAAAAACATACCTTCGGTCGGAGTTTTTCAGCAAGGCTTGAACAACTGAACTCAACGTATTTTGAACAGAAGCCCTTTGAATACTGGAATTTACTGAAAAAATGTGATATCAATGAAAACATACATTTCACGTTTCACATTGTGAGATAAAATTATTAAATCTGACTTTTCTTATTAATCCATGGTCGTGATATTCTCCAAACAAATAATCCCTTCACCTCAAGGTTCTATGTAATTATCGGTATACGACTTATATTCAACCAGTGAAAAAGTGGTAACTACTCGTGAAAATTCGAGCGAGTATGACTATTTCTCGCAAGAGAATACTATACTTTTTTTAAGACTTTGTAAGGAATATTTCCAAATAAGGATTATTTATGAGAGATATGTCGAGGAGTGAAAAAGCATTTCTTCGCCACAAGATCTTATTATCTTGTATATAGTCAATGATTTGCTCATCAAGAAATATGTTATCTAAATTTGAAAGGTTAACCCAATTTCCTTCCTATTCATAAGATGAAACTGATACTTTTGTTGCGAGAGTTTGTGTCTGGCAACTCAGGGATATTGCGATCATACAGTACTTGAGTATTGGCATCATAACGCCGTTATTTAAATATCTCATGAAATTTGAGGGTGTTCAGGAGCTGTTTAGTCAAATATTACATACTAATTCTTTAAAAAAAACTACAAGAATATCCTTTCATTACTATACTTCGATTATAAGCATATTTGAACCGAATTGACGCGATTGTGTTCTCGCCCATGTAAATTATCAACACGAATGTAAAAAGAAATATTTACTCTATTTCTGAATATTACTGGAGTTTTATCCCAACACGAAACCGTTATTTCAACACCTCTAAACGTGTTTGGATCACCAAGTGATAATCTTCAAGAGGAAGATTAGAATGATCTTCCTCTTAAAGATGATCACTTGGTGATCGAAACACGTGTCGAGGTATTGAAAATAACGGTGTGGTATTAGGATAAAACTCCAGTAATATTCATTACTATACCAAAGGTTCCAAACAGTGCCTCACAAGTATTCTATTTCTGTTTATAACTCTTCAACTGAAACTAATCTGAAATTGCTTCTTTTTCAGAAAATGAATTGCCTCAATACATCATGAATACTCACATCCATAATAGTACTCGTCTACAGTTTTGAGCCAACCAACGTCATCATGTGAATGTGGAATTAAGTGGACATTAATTTTTGTATCATCAATAGGATGACATTTAACACACCCAGTTTTTTCATAACCTGGAGTGGGAACTGGAGACAGACTCACCCCAACCAGAAAGATTAAAACTGGAAGCAAATTTCTTAGTACCATTTCGTAACGATATAAATACGGACTGAATCTACAATAAGGATTGAAAAAATATTTGTTATCGGTATGAAAAATAAGATGCCACTTGAGATGTTATCAGTACTGACGAAATAATAACAAAAAATAATTTTGACCTCCATTGTTGCACGAGGTTAGAAGAACTTTGAACTTCCATCCAAACACCATCAACTAACTACTTTTTCTCGAAGCGTTTCGCCGTATTTTCAGTGTTCATAGTTTCGGTCTGGATAAAGCTAGAAATTCAAAATTCTCAGGATATGATGTCGATTTAGCTCTAATTTCATATTATATATGATAACATAGAGAAAAAACAGATTTCGTCAGTTTTTCACACATTCACCGATGATTACAATAATATTCCTTACTGTTGTTTACTGTCCGCAATCTGAAAAATAAACAAAGCCTAATCAATTGAGAATCTGGTTAATGAATGGCAAACTGAATGATGTAGGTACCCCGAAAAATGACTCTATAGTATGAACTACTAAATAGTGCAATTAGTCAGTAACTTTCATCAGTTTGGAATTCCATTGTCTAGTGTGGTATAACTTGATTTGAAACCCCCGAAAGAATATGTAAAAAATAAAAAAATAAAAAGGTTAGCATCGAAAATGACCTTCAACAGAATGGTTACTCCAAAGTGATGGTGAAACAGGCTTTAGCTAGAAGACAGCAAGAGCACCACAATGAGGAGAAGCCGCCACAACCAGTACTTGTACTTCCCTAAATCAGAGAATTGTCGAAAAGGATAAAAAGGATTGGGTCCCAGTATAACATCAGAACCTGTTTCAGATCTGGGAATACTATCCGTAGCAGCCTATCGAAAACAAGGCCACAAGACGCGGACTGCGATTCCAAGAATTGCGTTCACCGTATACCCTGCTAGTGCGGAGAATCATACATCGGTAAACCTAAGAGGCCATTGAAAGTTCGCATTACCGAGCACAAGGAACATACACAGCGAGGAGAAACCAGCAAATCAGAAATAGCAGAGCATGTTTGGACTCATCAGCATAACATCAATTGGGCTCAAGCTGAAATCATCCACAAGGAGGAACACTGGTTTAGAAGAAAATTCAAAGAAGCCGCATATATGCTGTCCAACAACGCATTTAGCCAAGCTAGCGTAAAGATACGCAACATATGGAAACCTCTTATCAAGCGAAACACGACCAACTCCCGCCAAACGGACAGCTTCCGCTAAAACCGATGAAGTGCAGAGAGGGAAGAGGCGACAGGTGAAAGCACTCGAGTGACCTATAAATAGTCAGATCTCTGAGTAATAAGTCCAGTTATCACCCGAAGACGATTGTGGATACTAACAATGGAAACGTCGTGACTTAATTTGGTTTGGAATCTTTTAATTTGTAATTTTCATTTCTTGTCAATAATTTTTTTTTATTTTCATTTCGTCTTAATAATTCTTATTTTTGGTTTTATGGTTGAAATTGAAATTTCTGTTTTTTGTTTAATAAAATGGTTATTTTTTCAGATAACCTTTTTTTGAAGTTTTTACAGATTCCTTCAGGGATTTCGAATCAATTTATATCATACTAGACAATGGAAGTGCGAACTAATGAAATGCACCATGAAACTTTGTCAACCAATCCATAAATTGAATAATCAACAGAAAAATGGAAATTGTAATTTTTCAGCACAGATCAGTTTTTGGCAAAAAATCTCTTTGGATTTCTACTTCTTCATCTTGATACAGCAAATATGGAAAGTCCCCGAATGAACGGAGAAAATACTCGAGTTCAAAATCAACTCTCCACAAAAATGTGTAGATCATGTTCAGAATATATCGGGAGGGCTTCTTGTACCAGTTTGTATCTGAAGATAACTTCTATGCATGATCTCAACAACTTTATATGGAGGCTATTTCGAACTTGATTGCTTTCTTGTTCCCTTCTTAAGTTTTACACATTTTTTGTGTGGAGACAGAAAAATAGAAAACCAAAAAGCTTTTTTTAAAGGTATATTTTTTTCACACTCGATAGTCCCCATGAACAAACATACAGGATGTTTTTCTAGAAATCATATGGATTCTTTGAGTTTCTTCATATTTTGTTAAATTTCCCAGTGGCAATATTTGTTTCACTTCATTTTATTGCGTGATTACCAGTTAATTTCAAAAAATGATCTGATGTCTCTGATTTCGTTATCTGTTTCTCTTTATATTGACAATTTTCGTTTTTTCTTACATATATCTGTCTTTCACTTACATGGCTGTTTTCACAGCAACAAAGTTTATTATAAATGAACTATTTCACTTTTTTTACCGTATTTTTGGGTTCTGTTCGAATCAAAAGTGATCATTTCAATTTGTTGCTAGTCATATAGGTATCTGCAATCGATTCGCCTCAATTTTTCGGACAAACCGGGAACATAAAGTATGACGGTAGTTGTCAGATACATGTTTTGTTGAGTTTGTGATGATTGTGTAATCTGTATATACTTTTCTTAGGAAAAATTTTGAATAGCCATTGAGACAGCATTTTTCTCAATAGTCAAATCTGCTTTTATGTTCCGCTGCCAGATATTCATCCGCGACAAATTACTTTTCATGTCAATCAACATGAATACCCTAATGACAGAATTTGTTCAATGTATGATACATACACAAAAATCCTTAGGTATGTCATATTTGAGGTATCATATTCAAAAGTTGGTTCTAATCTAAGAGAGGTTATCAATTCCTGATTCTGCTGACGAGTATAAACGTACCCCTACAGTTCTCTGCATTTTTGTATTGACATTATTTTCTGTATTAGTCCCGTTATTGTAATCTGATATCCCTATTTTTCCTTTTTCTGTAATTTTTTTTTCATAATCAAAATTTGTATTGTCGAAGTAAACGATATTGTGCACTCTTGAAGTTGACGGCTCTCTCGAAGGCCATAAAAACCAATACATAGAAATGAACCGGCTGCGAAGTAGTCCACGTGGACTGTAGACTTGGCGGTTCGTATTGGATACTTTTTACTAACCGAGTTCAATGATTGGCTGAAGAGTCATAAAATTAAACATGAAGTCATGTTACGGTGACGAATAGAAATCGGGGAATGTGGGGATGGTTATCGCCGTCGTGTTCAGTTCAGAAACTGATCGCGATATGAGTGTTGAAATTCGATATTGATGCAGTTATAATTACTTTTATAATTACATTTTATTATCTGTATAAAATGTGGCATCCTTGGACAAGTACTAATAGTAATAACGAGTGTGATAATAACGCAGACTTTTTTCAGTGCAGTGATTCCAATAGCGATGATGAACGATGCGGAAAAGAGATACCAGTGGATAAGATTCGGATGCATTTGAATATTGAAACACAGAAAGTATGTTTCAATGTATATGACAATCTACATCTCAAGTTTGGTTTCGAGGGAAACAAACTATTACAAACAACATCAGATTTGACCGAAATTTCTTTCTCAACTGTACATAAAATAGTCAAAAACAAACCTTATGAACACAAGACGCTATGTGATACAGGATTACCAAAACCTTCAGATATTCATCTAATAAAATCATTGAAAAAAAACAATATACGACTTTTACAAAAGCAATGAGATTCCTACAACAGAAATCATAAGGAATAAATTGAGTACTTCCGGCTGTGACAAAACTCTTCAGAATTGGATAAAGAAACTAGGATTTAGATTTAAAATAGTAAACAAACGTCAAGCAGTTATGGAAAGCAGAAGAATAGTGGAATTGCGTAACAAATACTTAGAACAAATAACTAAATATAGACAAGAACAACGGCAAATTTTCTGTTTGGACAAAACTTGGTATGACAGTCACGACACAGTTACGAAAGGGTCGACTGATGGTTCGAGAATGTGTACGTCTAACATGCCTGCAAACAAAGGATCGCGACTAATCACTTTGCATTGCAGAGGAAGTGAAGGATGGGTTCCGAATTCTTTGAAATTATGTGGAAAACAACTTGAGGACTGGTGTCACCAAAATTGGTGACAAGGATGAGCCCATTGCCATACCAAATTGTTATTGATAAAATCCTATTTGAATTGGACAAAGGTTTTATCGGTACATACCAATTTGTTCTATTTTTAGATTAGTATTATTTTTTAATTTGGTTTTTAAAATTTTCAGAGTTTTATCATCTGAAACGTGTACAAAATCACAACATCGAAACTCATCAGGAGAATTCCACTTCGAAGTTTTGAATCACTCAGTTTTTTTAATGAAATCAAAAGTATTTTCATATGAAGATGAAGATTTCAGAATTTGGAGAAGATATTTCGCAAGTTTTTGACACGACGATCCGATTGATCTGAAAATTGGTTTCGGAGGAAATATATCCTTCAAAATAAGGGCTTGAAAGTTTTCATAGAACTTTCGTCAATTCTCAAGCTAGATAATATTTTGAACTCGTCGATAACTTTCTTTCATTTCCGAGTATTTGTTTTCAAAAAAAAATATTCGTTCAATATTCCACGAGCACACCAACAATATTTCTCTTTCCATTCTGGCCCGTGATTAACTTTTCGCAGACAAAGCTGGAACGAACCCAATCGTTCTATGAATTACTATTGCAATCTTCGGCATTTGACCGAATGAAAAAACTCCTATTTTAGATGGGTGCGGGAGCAAATAGCGTTCGTCATATTACAGCGGGTCTGCGAAAGCATGCGCTTGTTTTTTTGTCAGAACTACAGAGGGGAGAATTGGGCGACTTCGGGTCGTTAGTTTGGCGGGTCTGATTCTCGATCGGGGTGGAGTAATCGCATTGCTGTGTTCATTTGTAGCAATTAGCGACCGATAACGGCTAATGCATTTACCGAGTGATTTTTTGCCGTTTCTGGAACGTGATTGTTTCGATAATGAGAAATTATTTTTTGATTTCGTTCTCGCAGGAGGTCGATTCGTGATTGAATTTTTTCAGTAATTCCAGACTGTTCAGTATTTATTTTGTTTATCACATACATATTTCTTCCCTGAATTACTGAGAGTATTATTTCCGAATACTTTTTTTTTGC